TCCTAAAACCAAAACAATACCCGTTCTTGTCTTAGGACAACTTTGATTCACTTGTTTGATCCACTTCAAATGTTGACTACTGTATAAATTAAAAGACATTTCTTTTAAATGTATAGCAGAGTAAGGAGGCAGCAACATATGATAGATAAGACAAACCAGAAAGGCTATTAATAATCTTTCATTGCGTAAAAGTATTATGATACTAAAGGCTCCAAATACAGAGCGGCACAAAGCGCTTATGCGTGCGCAGAATGATGCGCTTGAAGCAACACGGAGTCACAGCGCGCAGCATAGAAAAGTTCAAAGCACAAAGTGAAGAGATATTGATGCGTAGTGTTTTAAGCAAGATAAATTCCTTTTATGCAAAACCATTTATCTTTATTTACAGATCAAGTATAACATTAGGAACATTTGGGAGAGAGTTTCATCGTCTTGACTGTCGTAACCGAACGCAACACACAGTTTGAACGCTGAATGGAGGATGACAGACAGCCGCAGCGGAGACAGGAGTTTAGAGAACTTGACTTAAATATTCACCTGTATCTTGAAATCTTGAACACTTGAAATATAGTGCACAAAAACTTTATTGTGCTTTATAATGTGTATGTGGCTTTCGTGGGGCTTAATAATAACACAGAATAGTATACGCACTATATCGGATTTGGATTGGTCTCGTCTGACCGATACCCCGATCCAGCAGAAAATGTTTTTTTTTTTTTTTTCCAGTTTTCTTATTACTTTACAATAATGTGGGACACAGCAAAACTTTATGATTTTGGTAATTAAAATTAGTTAATAATGTTAAAGTTTTTAATACAATTAATTGAATATCAGTTCAATGGACTGTGTCAAAAATATGTTGTATGATTTTACTTGTTGGGTACTGTCAGCTCCGAGATGTGACAGGCATCTAGTTCAGTTGATAGTTCTTACAAAAGAACACATGGCATTTGTGTCTCTTAAGGTGTACCCTTTGTAGAAAATGTTTTTTTTTGTGTGTGTGTGGTTTTGATCCTAATACAATTTTAGTTGAATTACTGAAATAAATGAACTTTTCCATGACATTCTAATTTATTGAGATGCACCTGTATATTTCCATGTTTCCTTAGGCATGTAGTTATATATGGCATTCTATATAGTGTATTCTTTTAATTATTTTGAAGTACCATGGAACAAGCATTGTATAAGAATATGGTAATCACATATGCAGTTATCATGATTTTTATCGGAGCATTACAGTAGAGGCACTCTTTCGTAATGGTATATGACCGAAGCAGTGTTTACTTTGAGAGCATAGAACAGCTGTAGGATAGAAGAGCATTACGAGAGCTTCAGTGTTCTGCTCGAGCTACAGGCAACGAGACATGCTGGGTTGTGCAGGTGCCCTGTTAGGCCGTGCTGTAAGAGCTCAAGGCTATATAGGCTACGCTACACTAACCACATCATTACCAGGCCAGGAGAGGGTAATGACTACATGTCCACATTGGCATTCATTCTCTGCTAGCAGTTTCAGTGCCAACAGATCCACATACCTTTAAGACACACATCAGCACATACAGTAGTCTCCATGTGGCACACACAAAAACCCAATGAAACGACTGACACATTTTGAAAGAAACATATGGAGAGTGTTATGATATTGTTATGATTTGATCACGGATTTGTTTAATGATTCATTTAATGACCCTTCCTGTTTGTTCACTATTTATTTAATTATAATCATTTCATTCATTATTAACGATACATTAATGATTGGTCACTTTATGATCAATGATAAATGATTAATTATATAAATTAAGTAAATAATTTAAATAAATATAAATTTTTGAAATTGATGTGTGTATATATATATATATATATACTTCAAATATATGTAATCAAAACGTATATTCACGTAATGTTATATAATATAATACATCTAGTCGCTCTTGAGCTCACGCATACCTGTCTGTTTACTACAAGGGAAGGACTTCAGTGAAATGAAAATACAAGTGAGTATGTTACATACACATACACACCACTGATTTGACTTTTTCGACTGCTCAGTGTCTTATATTTCCTGTAGAAAAGTGCAATTTGCCCATATTGAACGAGAAATGCTGCGTCATCAGGTATGAGGTTGACTGGGGAACATACAACACCAGAGGGACCAGAGGTTGTCCCATTAACGTCCTTTCAAAAGTGGCTAAATAGTGACCTCATTCAACTCATGAAGTTAGGTGATTTATCTCTAGGTGTTTCCATGGTAACCACTGACAGGTAGGGCAGACGGTGTGCACACCTGAGTTCTATGTTTAGCCCGTGCGTCATTGTCTCTCCTAGCATCAGTAGAACACAGTAGTTACCTGGGATTACCTGATTGATATACACCCTTCCTCAGTCTACTCTATCTTTTAGATGAATTTGCAAATTAATGGCCAGTTGATTGAGACATCTCAGTTTATTGATAGCACTAACTTGTTTACCTCACCCATGCACCACTGGGAGTTTCAGCGGTATCAGTAACCATCAATTTTAAAATCTCATGTAGTACACCAGTAACAATCAAACAAGCAGTCTCTTCATTAATCTACATTCATTACTGTGATTTTTCCAGCACTCTGATCATTATGCAGTAGAGCTCTACATTCATATTTTTAGATTTGTATGCAGTTTTAAAACAGGATGATAATTAAGCAATATCGCTTCAGAGTTCTGTTGTTCTGAATATCAGTTTATAAACAAGCAAACTAGCTCTATTGCTCATTGACACTGGGGAGATATGGCTGTTTAATGAAGTGCTCTGTTGAGCTTTATTTTGATTGTTATTAGGCTAAAACAACTTGTTCCTTTAAAAGCTACACAACTTTAACAAGCTTGTTGGATTCACCTCTAAATCTCCCTTCTTGTGTTTCACTCACCCACACGCACACTTACACACACATCTCGTTTTTCTGTCACACTGTCTCATTGATTAGCCTATTGATCTCCGTTTCCTCTTCGCATTTCCCGTAATAGGCTAGTGTGTCTGGATCGTAGCCAACTTTCTGTGTGTGTTTTTGTGTTCGATAGAGAGAAAAAAGAGATAGCACAATGAAAATATGGGGATATTGAATGTCTGATTTGTATTTAACAAGTGCTTGATAACTTTTTTTTTGGCGAAGGAAGGCTAAGAGTGGATGTCATCGCTAGGATAAAGCTATTCCGCCCTCTTTTTTTTTTCCGAGGCCGACGTGTGACGTTTATGAGCACATGCTAGCTGAACAGCCGTTTGTGTTTGTTTTTCATTTTGTAAGATGTCTTCTTTTATGAGTTGTCTGGATTCTTTTGACAGTGTTTTCCATGTTATTGATTTGTACAAGCTCATGGTTTTAGGGATGTGGGGGTGTGTGGTAGAATGTGAGAACATGCTAGGGTTCTGGAATAGAATCCGATGGGGGGGGGGTCTGAAAGCCGAAGCGTTGTAAATCAGCGTGCTTCCGAGTGTTTTGCTCGAATCAAAAAGAGAACTTAACAATGACACGTTGTCAACGTTTCAAAGCATATATAGTTGTCTAAAGTAATGCTGTAGGAAAGCTCAGAATTGACATGTTTCTTGTGTATTTCTGCTTATCACAGTGTTTTGAAGTCAAACTGCTACACACAACCCTCACAAAGTTTGAAATGCTCAATTAGTGTTTGTTACCAGACTGATTATTGGAGTCTGTGTTCTGACTACTTGAATTCCATAAGCGCCACCTGCTGTCAGAGAGTGGATTTACAGAGACTTATATTTACATTCAGCCTGTGTGCAGGTTCTGTCTGGACAAAAACGGACCGAATTTGCATGCCGTGCTGTAAATTTTGACCGGTTGATGAAAAACAAGCTTATGTGGATTCTACACATTTAAACAATTCAGATAAGTTATCTAGAATTATTTATGGGGCAGATAAAATACATAATTTATTAATCAGTTATCATTTTGTTTTAACATTTTTCTTTATTTAAAGGCACAATATGTAATATACAATATCCAAAAACGACTTGGACGGTGTGATATATTTCATGCAGTTGTGTACTTGCGTTATCCCAAAAGTTCCCAAGGATTTGTAAGTTTTAAATAATGGCTCGTCCCTGGTCATTGTCGCCTATCAATGACGTAATATCCGCATATCCTCAGTTTCCGCTTGTAGAAGCTGTATGTCAACACACGGACTCAAAAGCTGCTGTACACTTAAACTAAATCCATTACGGCTGTCGCGAATAAAATGAAAATGAAATGAAAAGTGTTGACCGTAGCATTAAATTTAGATCTGCTCAATGTTGCGCCATGTGTTTTTACAGTGTTGTGCTTTATAACCAATCACACACGAGTCTGTTGAGCTTATGAAGGCAATGGCCAATCAGAGGCCTTCAGATGAGTTTTTGTTCAGTGCACACGCTCGCGAATTCTCTCATCATAAACAACACCGTGCAGATGTGCGTATGATGTTAGCGATTCATTCATCAAACCGTGTATAGACAGCTTTACTGATTATAACGGGAGTTTTTGAAGAGTGCTTAAACTAGACTGAAGTCAGTCATAATGTTCTTTGACAATGTAAATGTTTTTTGTTCGCTTTCTCTGTATAATTTAATAACTGTTTGAATAACTGTGGAAGGTACAGGTAATAAAACAATTAATTAATTAATACCTCATCCGTGCACATCCTCCTTCATAGCGTCATCATGCTTCGCCTTTGTTATTGTTTAGAGAATGCGACCTCTAGTAGCGAAAACTTACATATTGTGCCTTTAAAGGCTGAAATGTGATGTTTACAATTTTATGAAACCTTTTCAAAGCTTTATTTGAACATTTTGTACATGCTATTAGATACACTGTTGTCAGTCATTTAAAATCCGGACATCATTGGTAATGTAATTGTTTTGGTGTTTATGCAAACAGAAAGTCATTTACTTGTTGTTTGTTGATTTTAAATATAAAACCTGGTGAAACAATGTATGTGTCTGCAATAAATTATAGATATAATAAATAAAAAACTAAATACGGTTGCATCTCTATTGCAGTTACCGGGCAGTGATATAGCCAGCGGCAGCGATGTGCTCTCCGACATCATTCCCAGCGTGCCCAGCTCACCCTGCCTCGCGGCCAAACGGAAAAACAAACCGCACCGAAACCTGGACGAGCTGCCCTGGAGCGCCATGACCAACGACGAGCAGGTCTCAAACCCTCACTCCTGGCAGCGTACGCAGTGACACTAGCACAGCTTGATGTGATACTGAAATATATGATGACACATGTTTAATTGGACACAGTTAGGGAAGAAAGGAAGCCGTGTCACTGCGTTTGCTTGTGTTATTCTGTTTCTTTGCAGTCAAGTGTCTTTTAGTGTCTGTGTGAGCTCACTTTGGTGATTTTCGTTTGTCAGGTGGAGTATATTGAGTATTTGAGTCGAAAAGTGAGCACAGAGATGGGACTTCGGGAGCAGCTGGACATCATAAAAATAATCGACCCGAGCGCACAGATTCTGCCGACGGACAGCGAGTTCATCATCGAGCTGAACTGCCTCACCGATGAAAAGCTCAAGCAGGTGATTAATTACACTCAACACCTCCTGCAAACAAACCACTCCTCCATCCACAGCACTGCCAGGTCTGATCATCAGCACTCTGTTTGCAATATGTTACACAACTTTCTATAATCTAAACACGTTCTAAATGGGTCATCGGATTCTAAATTCACTTTTACATGTTGTTTGGACTGAAACGTGTGTTGGCAGTGTGTGTACACATCCACCCTATAATGATAAAAATCCACACAGTGCTGTTTTCTTTTTTTAAATCCTCCAAAATAACCCCTTTCTCATATCAAGCCGTTCTCAGATTCTTGATGTGTGTCACAACGAATGCGGCTAAAGTTTACAGTCTCGGAGAACTGCGTCACCCCACGGTAGAGAGGGGCGGGGTCAGCAGAGCTCATTAGCATTTAAAGAGACACCGAAACGGCTCGCTGTGAACAGAGCTGATTTTGGCAGGGTAAAAACGGTGTTGTTTTACACTACCATTGAGAAATTTTACCCAAAGTATGTTATAGACTTTTCATTAAGACCCTAAAGAGTCATATCAGCTTGTGTAAAATGGGCATCTGATGACCACAAGGCATAACACTCTGGTTAACAGAAAAGAACTGGGTTCACACACTACTAGTCTTTCAGATCGCTCTGAACACAAAACAAACTCCCAAAGAAACATGGAATATCAAACACGTGGAATCAGGGTCTGTGTGCATCGTGTGGTTTTCTGTGATACTAGTGTTGACTCGTCCAGACTGGGGATCTGTGTGAAGGCGGTGTGTTGTTGTCCAGAGATCAGATTGGTGTGGTGTCTCCTGCAGGTGCGGAGCTACATCCGCGAGCACGGTCCGCGGCAGCAGCGCAGCGTGAAGAGGAGCCTGGCGAGCAGCGTGAGCGCTCACAGCAGCAGTGACGCCAGCATCACCAGCAGCAGCATCAGCAGCAGCAGCGCCTCCACCGCCTCCAGCATCAGCCGCGCTCACAGCGACGGGAACCTGGCCTCCGCCGCAGAGAGGATACGAGACTCCAAGGTGCTCCTCAGAGACACAGCGCAGTGATCCGCCTCGATCAAACACAGTGCAGCCGCTGACCTTCAGCATGCTGCTTTTTATTCAGTACTGATAGTTACACGTGTGTTCAGATATTTATATTTAAGATATTTGCATATAATCCACAAGAAAAAAACAAGAACTGGATTTACACAACTCCATTTACACTCCATTGCTTTGCATCCTGGTGTGTAGCTTCATTAATTGTCAGTGAGTGAGTGCTTCACAGGGGACTGCGTTACTGATTCAGATCAAGGCCATACTCTATATTCCTCAAGATTTAATTCTCCACCACAATGAGAAGAAGTCATCCGTAAGATTATGAAACGCAGTCAAGAGAAGCCTCCTGAGATGAGTTGGATTTACAGAGACTTATATTTACATTCAGCCTGTGTGCAGTGTCTGGCCAAAAACGGACCGAATTTGCATGCCCTGCTGTAAATTTTGACCGGTTGATGAAAAACAAGCTTATGTGGATTCTACACATTTAAACAATTCAGATAAGTTATCTAGAATTATTTATGGAGCAGATAAAATACATATAATCATTTATTAATCAATTATCATTTTGACTTATATCTTTTCTTTATTTAAAGGCTGAAATGTGAGGTTTACCTTTTTATGAAACTTTTTCAAAGCTTTATTTGAACATTTACATTAGATATTTCAACATGCTATCAAACATTTGTCAGTCAAGTTGTCATTTAAAATCCGAACATCATTGGTAATGTTATTGTTTTAGTGATTATACAAACAAAAAGTCATTTTAATTGTTGTTTGTTGATTTTTAAATATAAAACTTGGTGAAGTGATTTATGTGTCGGTACTTTTTGAACATCTCCAGCACATTTTAACAATACCGTGATAATACTGATAACGTGATAATTTTGGTCACTATAATCGTGATAAGAAATTTTCATACCGTTACATCCCTACTTGAAGCACAATATAGAAGAATAAACACCAACCGGATTACAAAAAAAATAGGCTAATTTCTTTTGAATCTGACCACAAGTACCGTCAAGACCAATATAGCAGATACTGATACCTCTGTTAAACAGAAGAAGGTTTTGTGATTTCTGAGGATAAATAGGGCATTTAATATTGGCAAGAGCTGGCAAAAGCCTACAGAAATTGCAGTACATTCAGAACAGTGCTGCTAGGATCCCAATGAGGGTACGCAAATACGACCATATAACCCCCATTCTCAAATCACTTCACTGGCTTCCTATTTCATTCAGGATTGCTAATAAGGTCTCCCTCCTTACCCATCAGTGCATCCATGGTGACACCCCACCCTATCTCAAGGAACCTCTCACTCTACAAAGCTCTACACATACTCTCCGTTCTGCCTCAACATATCTCCTAGGATCATATCTCCTTTTATCTTCAAGGATTCTCTGACGTGCTAACCTCTCTGGCTTAAATGGAACATTATGTGTTTGTAATCTGGATATGTGCTTTAGCTGAGATCTGGATTCTGCCTTCTCTTCAAGAGCAAAAGGGAGATACGAGACAGACCCCGCAGGCACAGACATTTAGCATATATTAGGGTCAAGATCACAAGCCTGCAAACATCATCTTCAGCTACTGGCAATGTAATGAGAGTAAGAGACAGAAAGAGATGGAAAAAGTAGAAGAATAGAGCACTATCAGAACAAGATAGGAGCGTAATAGAAAGCGAGTGAGAGAGATGGTTTGAGGGATGAAAGACATAAATAGAGGGAGGGGGAGAAAAAAACGATTGGATGGATGGAAAATGAGCTGTAAGTGGCTTGCTGATGGAGTGATCCTGATGGGCTGGAGGTGCTGGGAAGGGAGGAGGACCACGAGGCACTGTGCAAACTTTTACTGACCGTTTTTAATTGCTTGGAGATCAATTAGAAAATATGTGCATATGAGCATGTGGTATTGTTTGTGTCTGAATGCGTGGGCCAGACCAGATCTTTTCTGTTTTAGCTCGAACTTTTCAACAGAATCCGAAATCATGACAAGTATATAGACACAGACTCTTATAATATAGAAGACATGTGCAGTGTTCACGTTTAAGGTCTCTGCAAGTGGCCAAGACCTGACACACACATACACACAGCAGGCCAGGTGCTGGGTTAAGGCTCTGATGAGTGTGTCTGGAGGATATTTTGCATGTGCAGAGATGATCAGTGATGGAATGCAGAGTGTGTATGTGTGTGTGAATGTGAATGTATGCATATGTGTTATTCAATGCGCTTCGGGCTACGGGCCAAGGGTAGCCTAACCACCAGCTGCTTTCAACAGGCTGCAGTCCCCCCAAAAACACTTGCGCAGACAGAGACCTTGTTTCTCAATGAAAGAGACACAGAGGACATGTCTTTGTTCAGAATTCACAATTAGTTTTATAGTCTATTTAGACATGAATTGTTATTTGTTCTTAGTTGGACTATTTGGAAGATTGTAGTTTGGTTTTATTCTTTAACATTAGTTAATGTATTTTATAAACCAATAATGAACAATATTTGTACAGTATTTACTGTATTAATTTACAGTAAAGTTAATTTATATATATACTAATTAAATTCAGCATTTTCAAGTTGTATAATTCTGTATAACATTATTAATGTATTAAGAACAAACATAATTCAACAATCAACAATGGTTTATTTATAAATGAACATTCATCTATACACAACCATTCAAAAGTTTGGGGTCACTATGATTTTTTGAAATGTTTTTGAATGAAGTCCTATTATTATTATTATTATTATTTTAAATAACTAAACTAAAATAACTATATTGATATCTGTTGTAAAATTATTTCTGTGATGGTAAATCTGAATTTTCAGCAGCCATTAAAGACTCCAGTCTTCAGTGTCACATTCACATGTATGGAGGACCAAACCTGGAATAAATCACTTGCTAAAGCAAATACAATAAACTTTTTTTAATTAAATTAAGTCCTGCATTTATTTTTGTATTACTTTCTCCCCTTTATTTTTTCTTAATTTTTTTATCTGTATTTCTTGTATGTTTTTTTAATTAATAAATTTATTTTGATTAATATTTTTCTGCTTAATATTTTTTGTGGAAACCATGTTACATTTTTTTCAAGATTTTTTTGATGAATAGAAAGTTGAAAAGAAAGTTGAAAACCCACGCAGACATGGGGAGAACATGCAAATTCTATACAGAAAGGCCTCATGGGACTCAACCCAGGGACCGTCTTGCTGTGAGGCAGCAGTGCTGCCCACTGAGACACTGTGCCACCCATAAGTGGAATTTTTTTTTGTAACAAAGTAAAAGATTTTACTGTCACTTTTGATCAGTTTAATGCATTTTTTTTCTGAAAAAAAAAAAAAAAAAAAGAATTAATTGCTTTCAAAACAAAAAAAGCCTGACCTAGGAAATCTTTGCTAGTTTCAAATCCTGGCAAAAACACCAGCATGACATCCCATTGTGTTTTCAGTAGTGCCGGATTGATTTAGCAAAGGATTCATTTAAACCAGGCTCTATGAAGGGCTAATGTTACAATAAGATGATGCAAAATCCAAATGGATTCATGAGGACCTTGATTACTTGTGAGTAGTTTTTTTGGGTCAGGTCCTGCTTGCCTACACATTCATTAGGGCGAAGGATTTTTTTGTCCAGAATACTTACGGGCTTTATGTTTTTGATCAAGAATTACTTTAATTTGAGCTAGGATTTATTGCATTTGCGCAGGACATATGGTTTGTTGACTAGGCTCCCAAACTCTTCAGGGTATGAATCAATCATGCATCGTTGGACAGAGAGAGCCTGTCCCAGATGAAACACACATGCTTGTTGCACCGCAGTAACATAAGTGGACCTGCTAAAAACACACACACACACACACACACACACACACACACAAGCATTCTGTACCATATGGAGCATTATTGCAAATTATGCGCTTTCGATATAATTACATTTCACACATCAGTGAGGTATCATTAGCACTAGCTAATGCTAACTGACCATAGCCTGTCACTACAGCATTAGCATGCCAGCTCACATATCGTATTAGTATTGAGCTAAGTGCATTTAATCTGCTGATTAATTGCATTTATCTTGAGCTAAACTTCATCGGTGAATCAAATTACTCCTTCATGGACCTTGGAATCCCTCGAGAACAACTGAGCATATTAACTCGTGGCCTATTGGCTAGCTGGATTAAGCTTGAGGTGGCAAATTTCATGTCATTCTTTACAAAAATAGTGTTCTGATAAACTGTTGTGGCAAATATTACTTTGGATTTGCAGAAATTGTTTGATGTAGCATATTTATGTATAGTAAATTAGTTTTGTGCCATATTGTTTGTTTGTGGCAGATTTACCACATATTAAAGGGGTTGTTAACCCAAAAATTAATATTTACTCATTTATCATAATTTATGTTCATCATGTTCCAAACCTGTATGACTGACTTTCTTCTGTGGAAAATAAAAGATATTTTGAAGAATATTGGTAACCAAACAGTCAATCATTGACTTCCATTGTAAGGACAAAAGATTCTGAGAGACATTCCCCAAAATACGTTCTTTTATGTTTCACAGAAGAAAGAAAGATTAAATGATGACAGAATTTTCATTTTTAAGATTTTGTTGCACACTATTCAGGTTTAAATGGAAAATGTCTTTAAAATTCCAATTTCAAATCAAAATAAAACCAAAATAATCAAATAAAAATAAAACGATAAGAAATTCAAAGATTAAGATAATTCCAAGATAATTCCATTAATTAAACACAATAATATATGGGGTATTTCCAGAAACAGATTAAATTGATAATAAATGAAAGGCAAACTATAGATATTTGATATTTTTAAGTTAAATTAACTTATATTTTAATAACCATGTTGAAACACTACAATTCCACTACACAACAATTCCCAAAATGTTTATATTATTCCCAAAATAAAGTGTTAATTTTTCAGTATTTCAGAAAATTCATCTTCCTGTCACTCCAATTCAAATTTTAATTCAACATCCATCCTCCATCTCAATAAATAAAACGAGAGCCAGGTTTTTAATTCTGAATTGTG